TTGGGCTGCACACCAGTGTCAGAGACAAACACGGATGTAATTACAGTAGCAGTTGAAGTAATGAAGCTCATGAAGACTTGTCATCGACATAGAAACAAGTTACTTTCCCTGATGAATGAAGAAATAGTGTGTGTCATGACATTGTTGTGAATATTTGAATCATCTCTACGTGGGATCAATTGGATATGACAAGATGAACTATGTCAGATGAACTAGTTGATCACCATAACTGGAACTTTCACGTAAAAAGATCTTTCTTGCCTGCACATAACTAACATACCAAACGTTTGATATAAGTAACTAGAATTGTGTTACATGACATGTTCAACATGTTCAATCACATTCGTTATTTTGTCCTAATGATTAGGATGAACACTTGACTTAGACATTTTTATAACGGGATCCATCGATGAAAATCAGGATACGCTTTATAGTGGCTCATAACACATGCCTATGATATTTCCACATTCGTAGAATGAGCTCCGTCATCAGTCATGTTCTTTTGATGAAGTAATATAATTTTACTCAAAGTTTCATAATGCCTTATTGCCTCAGACCATTGTGAATGCATGGTGACCCAGTAGTCTAAGGCGCAGAAATTACAGAGCTACCTTCTTCAGGTGAGCCAGAATCCGTGCGTTCACAATCACTGATTCACCGATGACCTGCCTCCCTCGAGATCTCGCCACACATGATGTAACTGTTCAAAGGGACGTTAGACAACACTCACACACTAACGTGAATCATCGTGCACAATGAGACTTGATACTCTCACCACTGATCTCAAGTACTGATATACACGTGAAGATAAGAGTTATTTTCATCTTCAGTAACCCATGTTTTTGTGGCCACTAACGGCATCAGGTGGTTATGCTCGGTTCATACACGGCATCATATATCACTTGCGGAGATTGGATTGTCTGGCCCAGAAACGAATATCTACAGCCACATAGATATAATGTTGTTGGGTGTGGCAGTCAACAGCAAACAAACAAACAAAACTGCAAACAATTACTTGCATTTCGTACATGCAGAGAAATCACTAATATACACTAGACGCCAAAAGAAACGTTACCCTCCTACCTTTATGAATTACTGAAAAACTATCAAAGATATTTTAGAAAGTTTTAGTTTACAAGAAAGCTTAACAACACAGCTTTATGCAAACCACGAAAAAAGATCTTAAATGCATTCATATTTTGGTGAAATGCATCTTTTTCAGAAGAGTTAAATTGTCCTATATTCGTCCATTCCAAAATAAACCAATAATAGTGATTTATAAGTCCAAATGAAAGGTTGAAATAAAATTCTGCTTTGGGACAATGATAAACCAATCATTTAAAGTCACCAACTATTAAAACAAGAAACAACTGTTGAAGAGTGTAGAATTGAAAACCAATCATTGCTATGATTTCAGTCTTTTTAAAACATTTTCTGCTGATTTGCATTAGTGAAAACAAGTGAAACGTGTCTTTGATATTGTGAAAAAATGTTTAGGGAACATCTAAATTATCTTTGTTAACATTTTTGCTTGCAAAGTAACATTTTTCCAGTTTCTGTTTACACATTGTAATGGATCCTGTTTCGTTTACAGATTCGAGTTTTATATGTATTGTGAATTTGAGATTGCCGGACCAAGTTTTTGTACTGATCGTCACATGGCTGAAGTAAAGTTGGCTCGTATTGAGCTAGAGTTGTGTCATTAATACGAAGATATTACATGGTGTCAGAAGTCATGGCAGGTCGAATTGACATTCCGTCCATGAATTTCGATGCCGCTAATGTAGCAGAAAGTTGGAAAAAGTGGAAACAGACGATAGAATTGCTGTTCAGTGGACCACTCGCGGCGAAAGATGAGAAGGAAAAGTGTAGCTATTTTCTGTTGTACATTGGTCAGGAGGGCAGAGATGTATTTAATACTTGGACATTGACAAATGAAGAAAAGGAAAAATTGCAACCTCTGTACACAAAATTTGAAAACTACTGCATTCCTAAGACGAATGTGACAATCATGCGCTTTCGCTTTAATACACGTGTTCAGGGCCAAAATGAGACAGTGGATTCATATGTGACAGAAATCAAAACCCTCGCGAAAGATTGTGCCTTTGGTGCGATTGCTGATGACATGGTTCGTGATAGAATAGTTTGTGGAACGAGTAACAAACAAGTTCAAGAAAGACTGTTACAAGAAGCAGATTTGACAGTAGATAAGGCCCTTGAAATAGCGAGAAGTTTTGAAGTGAGTAAAAAACAGATGAAAGAAATTCAGTCAGAGGCAGTTTGTAGCATTCAGAAGAGAAGTGGTGCTTATACTCATCAGAGGAAGTTAGAGGACAGTAGTCAGAAGCGATCAGCAAGCGCACAGGCTAGTGTGAAACAAGTAGTGATATGTGTGAAAGATGTGGAAAATCACATTCAAAGAATGACATGTGTCCCAAGCAAGAAGTGCTGAGTGTTTGAAGTGTCACAAATTTGACATTATGCATCAGTTTGTAGGTCCAAAACAGTAGCGAGGAACACACCTAGAACACAGAACACAAGAAGGTCAGGAAGATGGAAACAAAGTCAAAGCAACCCAAAAGTCCACAGCTTAGAGACTGATGAACTCTTTATTGGGACAATAGAGGATAGAAAGTGTGAAAGTGGAGAAGACTATTCAGAACAATATGCAGATATCCAAGTGAACAAGAAGTTCATAGTACCTATGAAGATAGATACAGGAGCACAAGTTAATGCTATGTCAGAGAGAGACTTTCTAAAAGTCTGTAAGTTTGCAGGTCCTCTTGAGAAACCGGACACACGGCTTTACGGCTATGGACAGAAGTGCTTGAGAATTGCAGGTATGACTTACCTGGAGTGTAGTTACAGAAATGTGTCTGTATGCCTAAAGTTCTATATAGTGCAAGAAGAGGCACCCTCAGTGTTGGGACTTCGAGCTTGTGAGGACTTAAACCTGATAAAAGTCCTGTTGAACATTGAGCGCCTGGTTACCGATACAAGTAGTTCTGAGAAAATACTCAGGATGTTTCCAGATGTCTTCCAAGGCTTAGGATGTCTTGAAGACAAGTACAGTATTCAGCTTGACCCTGAAGTGAAACCAGTAATACATGCTCCACGAAAAGTTCCGATTGCCCTACATGAGAAAGTTCAAGTGGAACTTAAGCGAATGGAGGACTTGGGAGTGATCATGAAAGTGGAAAAGCCCACTGAGTGGGTAAATTCTATGGTAGTCGTCCCTAAAGCCGGTGGTGAAATTAGGTTGTGCCTTGACCCAGCTGACCTAAATAAGGCGATACAGCGTGAGCACTACAGAATGCCCACGATACAAGATGTGACCTCAAGGGTTGCTTGACCACAAGTATTTCACAGTCCTAGATGCGAAATCGTCATACTGGCAAGTACAACTTGACCACGACTCCTCCATGTTGACCACGTTCAACACCCATGTGGTAGATATAGGTTCTTACGTCTTCCATTTGGAATTAAAGCGCCAGTGAAGTGTTCCAAAAGCGAATGGACAAAATCGTCGAAAACTGAACTATACTCACCCAATAGTAGATGATATTCTCATCAGTGGCAGAACCATTGAGGAACATAACAAGAACCTCATGGATACTCTTGAGACTGCAAAAGAAAGTGGTATCAAGTTAAATGCAGACAAGACTCAACTGTGTTCGCAGGAAGTGAAATTCTTTGGTGAAATACTCAGCTCTGATGGCATGAAACCAGACCCGGATAAAGTTGAACAGTGCGCACAATGACAACTCCAACAAAGCAAGAAGGAGAGCTTGAGCGGGTATCTGGGAATGTTCACTTATCTTGCACAGTATTCCCCTTGTCTTTCTGAGAGAACTCGCATCCTGCGTGATCTGATTAAACAAGACAGTCAGTGGAATTGGACTCCAAACCATGAACAAACGTTCCAAGAGATCAAGGATCTCATCACGAGTTCACCAGGTCCTGTTCTACTGATATTTTGATTCCCAGAAAGAGGTTGTTTTGCAAGTGGATGCATCCCAGAATGGTGTTGGGGCTGTTCTGTTACAGGAAGGACACCCTGTAGCATTTGCATCCAAGTCTATGACGTCGTGCCAGCGCAATTATGCACAGATAGAGAAAGAGATGATGGCTATAGTATTTGGCTGTGAGAAATTTCATCATTATTTGATGGGTAGAAGATTTGTTGTCATGTCAGATCACAAACCATTGGAGAGCATTTTCATGAAGCCACTCCATGCTGTACCACTACGTCTCCAGAGGATGAGAATCAGACTGCAAAGGTATGATGTGGTTGTCACGTACATTCCAGGAAAAGATATTCCTGTGGCTGATGTGCTGTCCAGACACTTTATAGAAGATAAGCTGACAGACTTGAACTCTTTTGATGAGGAAGTTAGCGCATATGTTCATATGGTGACAACAGGCTTACCTATTTCAGATAGGAAGATGTCTGAGATAAAATCTGCTACAGCTGAAGATGAACAGCTGCAGGCAGTGATTAGTGCAGTGCTAAATGGTTGGGCAGCTACACATGTAGACTGTTCCGCTCAAGTCAAGGACTTTTGGACATTTCGAGAAGAACTCTCCTGTGTTGATGGAATTGTGTACAAGGGAAGTAAAGTAGTCATTCCCTCGAAACTCAGAGTTGAAATGCTTCAATGCATTCATAGTGGTCATCAAGGCATGACCAAGTCAAAAGAAAGAGCTAGAGAGATTCTCTTTGGCCGTGTATGAACAAAGATATTGAGAGAACAGTAGAGCAGTGTGCAGTATGTCAAGAGCACAGGAAAAGTCCTTGTAAGGAACCCATGATCTCCAGTGAAGTACCTACTCTTCCGTGGCAAGTAGTAGCCACAGATTTATTTTATATGGATGGAAGAGAGTATTTAGTAGTAGTAGACTACTACAGCAGGTATTTTGAAGTAGCCCTGTTAACCAACACAAAGGCTTCTACAGTTATCACACATATCAAGTCCATCTTTGGACGACATGGCGTGCCTATGCGTGTTGTCTCTGATAATGGGCCACAGTATGCCTGCGCTGAGTTTAAGACCTTTAGTGACAAGTGGAAGTTTGAACACATAACGTCGTCACCACTGTATCCCCAGGCCAATGGTCTTGCCGAAAAGACAGTCCAAACTCTCAAGCAGCTGTTACGAAAGTCTAGGCAGAGTCATGCAGATCCATATCTGGCAATGTTAGCTTATAGGAATACGCCTATAAATGGACTCGCCTCACCAGCACAACTGCTGATGGGACGCAGAATGAGAAGTGACTTACCGGTGCAATATGAAATGCTCAGACCTGAAGTTGTTGACTGCGATGTAGTAAAACAAACAATCTCACAGTCACGAGAGACCCAGAAAGTCTACTATGATCAGAGAGCTCATCCAAGACCACCAATACAGGTGAATGACAGTGTGAGATTGAGGCAAGGGAAGGACTGGATCCCAGCTAAAGTTGTGAAATCTGCAAGCACTCCACGGTCTTTGGTAGTAAGAACTCAAGGTGGCACAGAGTACCGAAGGAATAAGTATGACCTGATTCCAACAAAGGAAAATCTTCCTGACGACTGCAGTACCATCCAAAGTCCTGATGGAACCACTCAAGGAGCGGCTAATGCTATTCCAGAGAATGTTCCTGTACAGTCTGCAGACACTCCGCCAGACATGAATGTGTCGCAAAGCCTTGCTCCATCGAGGAACCCCATTTCATTCTCGTCAAGTGGTCGACCAATCTTCAGACCACAGCGATTCTCTGAGTGACTCTAAATTGCAATAATGGTTTTATTTGTGTTAAAGTTTATTGTGCTCGGGGAGACAGACATTTCATTTAACAGTGTGACACTTAAGGTAGTGTTATCTTTATTTTTAGCTTATGGGTAAAAGGGGATGTAATGGATCCTGTTTCGTTTACAGATTCGAGTTTTATATGTATTGTGAATTTGAGATTGCCGGACCAAGTTTTTGTACTGATCGTCACATGGCTGAAGTAAAGTTGGCTCGTATTGAGCTAGAGTTGTGTCATTAATACGAAGATATTACACACATAACAATATCAATCGCCAAAACGCAGCAATGTTCAAGCAGTATTTACATCCATTTAACATGTAGAATGATTCCATAGGGTATAAAGAGAGCTTACAAGACATGATCTGATACACAAGTACGAGAAATATGCCACGATTAACAGCTGCAGGGAGAGAAAGAGCCATTGGGGTGGTGCAGATGGGGTGGACATACAATGCTGTTGCCAACGCCCTCGGATGCCACCGTATCACGGTTATAAGACTTATTCAGGGCTTCAGACAGACTGGGGTCACCGTAGACAGACCAAGAAGTGGACGTCCACACATCACAACCTCCCTCATTAAGAAAGGAGGGTAACGTTTCTTTTGGCGTTTAGTGTATGTTGAACATCATGACATTCGTTTCCGGGTCATCGTGACCTGGGTCATTCCCTCGGTCATTAACAAATTCTATACTCTTAACAACTGACGTCAGTGTCTCCACACGTCTACCACCTCCTCCGGTTGTTGTCTTGTTTCTTATGAACAGCTGATGGATCATACTCGGACTGGCTGGATGACTGAGTATGGTTTTACGCCGCTTTTAGCAATATTCCAGCAACATCACGGCGGGGGACACCATAAATGGGTCGTACTTGGACACTCGTGAGAATAATGTACTTCTATCACGTACATTTAACATCAGTGCCAATAAAGCACAACTTAAATTGGTATCGTGAGAGGACCACGTAAATTAGTTTCAACGATCACCAACGTTGGCATTGTGTGATTCCGTCTTTGGCAGCGTTGTTCAGTCGTGATATTTGGCTCCTAATTAAAATCTAAACTTTAAAAATAAAATTTAAACAACTGAATTCACCTGCGTGAAATTACCGATAACGACCAGTTCTACAAGCAGTCTGCATGTGAAATAGTGACACGTTAGTTAGAGCAGGTTAAAAGCAGTAGCTGTTATTTATTTTCAATTAAAGCCATGAGAAGTGTAAGGTCAAGACAAAGAGTTACAGTAACACTGCGCAAATACACAATGAAGTTGTAGCCTAAAGTAAGCTTGCAATACCCTAAACGTGATATTCCCCTTAATGACGTAAGGTTGACGACTTGCATGTAGTTCGTCCATAAAATGCTACGATCCATGAAACAAGTGGAGGAATTGTGTCGGTTTATATCTAAGCGGCTAACATGGGTCTTGAGGGTCGTATTTAGGTGCGTATATGCAGACACACCATACGGATAATTTCTTCATATTTGGATATAATACCTTTGAGAACGACCGTTATTATCACAGAATAAGCAATTTAAGCATAACCCGGAACTAAAATGGAAAGCCAGAATCAACGTTTCACCACATTCAGCGTTGGCACAGCCGTATTGCCTATCATGTCCTCGAACTCTGTGTGACAATTCCGCCTCTCTGTGCACAGCTAGAATCTCATCTACACTGCTCCGTGTTCTAACAACTTGTCGCAGACTTTTATAATCATGTATAGTTTTTGGTCTAGTGTCTGCCACTATCATTGTCCGATCAGCCGCAGACCCGCGGCGGTCAAACCTCTTTACCTGTCTAAGGAGCTGTCTCAACACAAGTTCACGTACTGGTTGACGTTATTACCCCGTCCCCTTACGGCGAATTACGTACAGTAAGGGCAGACAACTGACACAAAGGTCAGGTCGCATCTAGTCAGTTATACTTCAAGAAAGATCAATTGTTCTTCAGGCGAAGATTGATACTCGTGAATCTTATTGTTACTGTTCTAATCAGGTATATAGACCGTTGGAGTTGTCTAAAACTAAAAATTAATTCCATGATGCGAATACAGGTACTAGTTTCAAAAAGTTCGGGTCACATGACTGAGTGATTGCCGGTGTCATTGTAAGCATCGTCAGCATCCTTCCTGGGATCAAGACACGGGGTGATGATCGAACGCTTTTTTCCCTCATACCGTAGTTTACATCGATTAAAAATGAGATGACATGATATGTGTTTTTAAAGGTTTAAAGGTGTATTTGTTGAAGTTCGTCGACTGATGAAGATAGTGCCGCACCTGAGCAATTTCCAAAATGTAGTTCTTTGACTCTCCCCTTGATTGACAACGTAGTCACGTGTTGTAAGGGTGTGGGTGTGGGGGTGTGGTGTGGTGTTAGGATTTTTTGGTCGGCAATTTTGTTTTGATGACGTCACATATGTGTGACCTTTGTGTGACCTAATCGACTGTTGAACCCTTAAGCCCCACCCTCCTTTGGGAGTTCCTTTCCGGCCCAGGTGTGTGTGTGTGTGTGTGTGTGTGTGTGTGTGTGTGTGTGTGTGTGTGTGTGTGACCTTCAGGTTCACCTTAGTGGGCTGTGATTATTATTCAATTATTTTATGAGTGGTATGAGTTTGCCGACTCAAATGTTCACACAGCAAAATCTTTTTTCAACGTAGAATTAATATCACACTATGCATATGAGGGGGAATTAGCTGCTAATTATTTGGTCAAAAGCTGTGAAAATATCAGCGCGCATTTGGTTAAATCAAAGGTATTTCAATATATTGTGTTCATGTTACAGAGGCGAAATGTAGATGGAATCAATTCTGTTAGTAACCGCGTATGGTCAGTTAAACCAAAGGTTGATAGTGTGAGCACCAATCAGTGCTGTGGTTAAACGCCGTCGACTTAGTCGCAAGGATAGCATGCATGTGCATGAGCTATTTGGAAACCAATATTGAACGATGTTTACGGGAATTGATGTCACATGGTTCAAACATTATACTTATGGCGGTGTTATAGGTGGTGCGGGAGAGTGGCAGGTTTGTTCGAAAATTTAACACCACATCACAATCACTCTCGCTTTGTGCATAAACTAAAAGGAAGACAAAAGGAATGATTTCAATTTTTCAGTAGTCGACTTCCCTTTTATGTCGAGCAATATTCCAGCAGCTCCAGCCTTTGGTGTTTACATTTCACAACGTTTGAGGTACTATCGAGCGTGATCTTTTTATCAGGACTTCAAAGAGCCTCATGCCACTCTTGCTCAGAAGTTGTTTTATCAAGATTACAACATTCAAGACCTCAGTAAAGCTTTAAAGAAGTTTAAAGGTAGACATGTGGAGGAAATTTCCATATTTGATGCACCAGTGACAAAATATGCAATTCCCTGTTTTGGCTTACCATATGTTCCCGAATTATTTCAGGTGAACAATTGACTAGACTTAGCATATGTTTATGGCGCATGCCACCGGTGGGGCAGGATATGCTCACCTTTCGCGAACACCTGGTATCATCACTATTTCATAGTGATTCAGTTCATAAACACATGCTCTGTCATCGTATCGCAAGGTGACAATCACTGGATTGTCTGATCCTGACTCGATTTTTGACAAACAACATCGCACGGCTGTAATATTGTTGAAAGCAATATATACTCATGATATAGTCACAAGTGTGCAATCAACTCTGCTTTTAGCAGAGATTTCTTATGGGTGAGGAAACAGTTTTGTGGCTTCTATTTAATAAAACCTGTATGTGTGAAACCGTGAGCGGAACGCAAAAGGCAGCCTTCACATCAACGGTTCATGGTTCGATAACTGAAACATTTCCCACATTGCAAGGTAAAACTGTAGAGTAGAATATATATGAAGACAAATATGAGTGAGAGAGGGTATTCAGTACTTCAGAGCTCTAGGACCAGGTTACAAATTATATTCAACATTATATTTTCGACATAACATAAAAAAAATAATACCTCATAATACATATTTATTTCATTAGATTTTACAGATTGTATTAATTTTACAAACACATTCCACTTCAAATAAATGGCATAAACTATCATTTAGCATCATTACAGAAGATATGTTGAATGAATATCTGCCTCAATGGGTATTCAGGAAGTGGACTTTTATTTCGTGTTCTCTTGCCTTTGTTTAGTACGTGCGTTCGGAGATCTGAAACAAAAGAAACACTGCAATCAAAATGTGAATTTAGAAGTATTTGATTTTATAAGTTGGAGTGTTTTGAAAATAGATTGGGCTATACACACACATTATCACCCCATAATACTGGTAATTGACACTAACAGAAAGCATCTCGTGTGTCAAAACATCAAACGTTTCTGAAGATATATGCCCGTATACATTCTGAAAGTATTCATCAATGTCAACCTGGCTAACCTTTGCTGACTGCTGGGTAAATTGGACAAACTTCCCACAAAACTCAACTTGATATTGGAAAGTCAGAAGCTTGGTCTTTGATAGTTGATTATTCTTACATTCCTTCATGTGTCTACTCCACGATAGAAAGTGTACATTAGTCTTGATGTAAGAGAGGGTGGTCTAGCTGACACTGACACACCCACCCGGCTCACAAAGAGCTGCGTTATAGTCGTACCCCAATTGTGCATGGCGATGCTCAGGATGTCAATCACTAGATTGTCTAGTCCAGACTCGGACATTATTCACCGCCTTCATGCCGCTTCACATTTGAGGAGTGAGGCGTTAAGAAATAAGCACACAAACAAACTCACCCACTCTTCACGATATTTACATATGATTTATCGAATCGTACCTTAGTAAGAAAAGAATAAGTTCGTAAAGGGTCAGTCAACACTACATAACATCCATCTCCGAAGTAAGGCTTGATAAATTAATTTTTACCTCGAATGTGAACGGATCCACAAGACCAACCCAATCAATAGGCCAATAACTAGTGCTCCACCAAAACAACACGCAATAATCAACATATTGTTATCCGTTTG